TGCGCTCCTGGCAGCGGCAGAAGCAGAGGTGTGATGGGGCGTTGCCTCCCGCCCCGGAGGGCTCCCAGACTGTGAGAGGGGGCAGGCCAGGCTGAGAAACCCTCCCTCCAGTGCATGAATTTTCATGCACCGAGCCTCTAGTATTGTTAAAATTATGTATGGTGTCAGATGGGTAATAGATTTATCAGAGTGATCACTTCGTAAGTTACATTAATGTCTCATCATTGGGTTGTACAACTGAAACTAATATAAAATTCTACATCAACTGCAACTGAAAAATAAATTATTTAAAAGTGTATATGGGTCCTACCCAGTTTGGCTCAGTGGACAGAGCGTCAGCCTGCAGACTCAAGGGTCCCAGGTTCGATTCTGGTCAAGGGCATGTACCTTGGTTGCGGGCACATCCCCAGTAGGAGGTGTGCAGGAGGCAGCTGATCGATGTTTCTCTCTCATCGATGTTTTTAACTCTCTATCCCTCTCCCTTCCTCTCTGTAAAAAAATCAATTATATATTTTAAAGTGTATATGGCCCTAACCAGTTTGGCTCAGTGGATAGAGCATCAGCCTGCAGACTGAATGGTCCCAGGTTCGATTCCGGTCAAGAATATGTACCTTGGTTGCGGGCACATCCCCAGTAGGAGGTGTGCAGGAGGCAGCTGATTTATGTATCTCTCTCACTGATGTTTTCAACTCTCTAACCCTCTCCCTTCCTCTCTGTAAAAAAATCAATTAAGTTTTTTAAAAAGTGTATATGAAAAAGCAAAAAACAAAAAACAACACCATTATGTTATATACCTAAAACTAATATAATGTTATGTCAATTATATCACAACTAGAGGCTCGGTGCATGAATTCATGCAGGTGTATGGTTCCTCGGGGTAGCCTGCGGGGATCGGGCCCCAACTCGCGCCCCCAGGCTCACAGCCCCAGCTCCACCTGGCACCCCACCATGGCCTGGCACCGCCCCCTCACCTGCTCCACTATCCCACCTGCAGGGCAATCGATCAGGACCGGGCCCCCTGCCTGGCTCCCTAAGTGCCTGAAGGGCGATCAGTGGGGCTAGCAGACCCCCGTTCACACCCACCTTGGCCTGGCAATGCCCACTCACCTGCTCCACCATCCCGCCGCAGTCCCGCTCTCGTAGGGGCCCATCAGGACCGGCAGCGCCTCCACTGCCGCCCACCAGCGCCACATCGCCAACACCCATCATGTTCCACGCCGCCCCCAGGTGGTCAGGATACGTCACAGGGAGCAGTCAAACTCCCAAACAATTTCCATATTAGGCTTTTATTATATAGGATTAAAAAACCTGAAAATGTCACCAATTCAAATCACTAACAGAAAAATATCAAAATTCACTGAATGCTCACTATATACTAGACACTTCCTTTCACTTTTGAGATACTATAATTAACATCCTATATAATAAAGCTTTAACATACAAATTGATCCTAACTCCATCACACCATCACAAGATGGCTGCACCCACACTGGAGGCAGGGTTCCCGCAACACAAGATGGCTGTGCCCACAGCAGAGGCAGGGTTCCCATAACAAATCGGAACAAGTGATCAGCAGGGACCTGAGGCTGCATGGCGCTGGGCATGGGCGGGGGACCTGC